AGTGGCAATGTAGCGCACCCACCTTGAATGTACATGGGCAAAGGAGCACAGGGACAAACCAGTCCAAAGTTTCACTTGGAACTATAATGGGAAATAAGTTTGTGGCTACTATAACATTATATCCAGAATAAATTATGCTTACTAAAAGAGTTAATTTACCAATGGGATATTTGGGCTGTGGTTCATTGTTTCTAGCCTTCATTTGAGCACACTTCCTCCTGGTTTTTAATTTTTCATAACTTGGATAAAATTCAGGTCTTCCCTCTTCAGTGATATTATGATTTGATTTGTGAAATAGTAAAGCTTTTGTCTGTTTCAATGCAACTGTATTGACCTTACGTCAGTATATTTCCTGTATTTTCCTAATTTCTGAGGTTGCTCTCGCAACTCTTCTTTGAACATTTTTTTTAATCCTTGTTGTGAGCTTTCTCCTACAGTCTATGCATTACATTTCATCCTGAGATGCACTTTTAGAATAAAAAGTTTCCCAAAAAAAGACAAAAACTTTGCATGCTTTCGCAAACAGTTATGTGAGATTTTTCGTTTCCTAATTATTTTTATGGAATTTCTGTCTAATCTTTTTGGATTTCTTCTTTACTAAGATGATCAGGGGGCTGGAGCACCTCCCCTATGAGGACAGGCTGAGGGAGTTGGGCTTGTTCAGCCTGGAGAAGAGAAGGCTGCGGGGTGACCTCATTGCAGCCTATCAATACCTGAAGGGAACCTACACCCACGAGGGGAGTAAACTCTTCAAAAGGGCTGACAACAGCAGGACTAGGGGAAATGGATCGAAGTTGAAGGAGGGAAGATTTAGGTTGGATGTTAGGGGGAAGTTCTATACAAGGAGAGTGGTTAGGCCCTGGAACGGGCTGCCCAAGGAGGTTGTGGATGCCCCGTCCTTGGATGTGTTTAAGGCCAGGTTGGACAGGGTCCTGGGCAACCTGATCTGAATGTGTGTGTTTGGTGGCCCTGCTAGGCAGGGGGGTTGGAACTACATGATCCTTGAGGTCCCTTCCAACCCGGGTGATTCTGTGATTCTGTGATTCTTTTCAGAGATCTCTGCTAGTTTTGCCCACTATAAGGTGTGGTTCTTTGCTTTTCTTGTGTCTTGTCTTTTGTTCTAATGACTGTATCTGGGAATAATTTCACTTCTTTTCTGCAAACAGATGAGAGGAATTGGAGTATCTGTGTTACTTGCACAAGGTGGGATACAAACCTGATGAGATAGACATGAGTATAAATTGTGGGAATTTTCAGAGAATATCTGTTGTATACACGCACAAATAAACTGGAGCTAACAAGTGTTTGAAATAATTTCATTATAAAATAAAGTTTGGAAGAGGCAGACTTAGAGCATTAAGTCTCTTCAGATGGCTACTTTTTCAACTTCATGATGTAGCTGGCTGTATATTTTGCTTTGCTCTTGGTTTGTTGTATATTCATTCTGAGAGAAAATGCTATTTGTGCTCTAGGATGCTGGCTGTTACATTGTTCAGCTCAAGAAAAAAGCGATAATAAAAGCAGACTGTGTGAAAGATGAAGAGTGAATCTGCATGAAAAATTGATCCCTGTTAAACTGAATTCTGGGCCTTCTAATATATGCTATGCTGCGTTACATCGTGGTGTAGTAAATGTACTGTAGTGAATGTGTTCTTTTTGCTAGCAGATCCTTTGCTTTTCTGATTGTGGTGTAATTCTTGAATACAATCAAAAGAAATTAATGTAAAATGTTTTAATAGTCTGTGAACAAAATCAGTATGCAAGATAAATTGCTTTCAAGAAAATGCAAAAAATGATTGCCAAGTGCTCATATTTTGCCAGACACCGTTGTGTATCACTCATTCTGTAGGTACCTTGCATAGCTGAAACCTGGCTGACCTCTGTTCTTTAAAGTGCTAGCACTCAAGTTGAGGATATGCAAAATAACGTGAACTTCAAGACAGGGTACAATTAACAGTGACATGTAAATGTAATTTAGATAAATCTTTGAAATCTGATATTTTCCTTAGGTTGGACGTGCTGATTAATGCATTGAATTTTAAATTTGTTTTGATTTTGCTGATGTTTTTTATGATTCATCTAAATGTTTTTGTTTCTCTCAGTAACTTTTTTATGTATATGTCTGTCTCTATGGGCTTATGCTTCTCGGAGATATTTGAGACCCATCAGGAGGCCTACATGTGTGACCTTCTATAGGGTACCTATTTTAGCAGGGGGGTTGGATTCTATGATCTCGAGGCCATTTCCAACCTTTACAGTTCTCTGATCTGATTGTGGGACATTTATAATAATGATATGGTAACACAAAACTAAGCAATTTAAAATTTGTTTTTAGACTATTTAACACGAGGCTAGAATGAACTGGGTTTTATGACATTTGAGTGAAGAGTGTGCAATGTGTTTCACAACTACTTCTGATTCCAACAAACTAGTTCCATGATTGAATTGTATGGCGTAATATTTTGTCTCTGAAATTGAACTAGTCGTTAAAAATTTATCTGTTAATGTTAAAATACATATAGGTTGCCAAATACACAGCTTAAATCATTTTCTTCCTCATAGATACCTAGTTACATAGTAAAATCAGTTCTGTGCCTCATACATACAGTAATTACAACCAGTAGAAGAATTCAGGCTGTGTTAACTGGATCCTGCTGATTTGTGGGCTACCTTTAAAATTTTGTGAAACTCACTGTCAAATTTTGTACACAAAGTCAAACATCTTCATTATGTTCCTCTGTATTACCAAATTTCCATGGCAATACTGGATCTCTCTTCCAGTAAATAGAAATGAAGGAAAATCTTATGTTCTGAAATGAAGAAAGGATTACAGACTCTGAAGCATTTATAGAATTGTATATTTGTTCTTTCTTCAGTTTCAAATTTGTTATTATTTGTTTATGTAGCCTGGATTTCCAAGCTAAAGATGTCATTGTAAGATCGAAAATTTATTTTAGATGTGGAGAGTTGGAGCTAAAGGTGCAAGGCTGTTTAACAGCATATCTTTTAATGTATTTTTCATTTTCAAAACTATGAAATTGTGAAATATCCAATTCGCTAATGTACAACAACTACTTTAAAATGTGCCATCATTTTGATTGTTACTTGGTGAGTTTCAGAGTATGGTAGATTCTTGACACAAACTTTGCAGAAATGTTTGCAGAAAATGATGCTCATTAATGCTTTAAGCAAGCTAGATGAGTTTACTGAGTCAATTATTACTTTCATTTAGTTTTTTTTCTAATGTTGTGCCAAGGGTGACTAGTAAAGGATTTCCTACTAGTGGAGTTCTGGTAGCAGATGCTCTGTCTTTTCCTTCTGCTAGGGGATGTAAAGATGTAGAAATTAACATTTGGGTACTTCTGACATGAATGGATCAGAAACAGTTAAAAAACCACGTTCTTACAGGCTGTCTGCCAGTAGCAATTGTGTTCATGACATGTTCATGACGTCTGAGCCATCCTCTGTCATGGTGCTAAAGGAAGCCTTTATAATGGTATTAAAAGCAATTTTTTTTTTTTTTTTTTTTTTTTTGCAGCTATCCCTGGCAATGACCTTAGCACAAAGATCAGATGCAGTTACAAGTAAAACCTCCCATTTTCACTTGCAGTACCAAAGAAAATTCTCTTGGTTCTCTTCAGTGTTCAGCTGCATTGGGGATGAGCAGCAGAGGAAGTTGCAGAGGATATAGGAAAGGCTATACTTTCTGACTGTCCATGATAAATTTCAATGCTGTGGCATCTGGAGCTCCATCACTGCTGATGCTATTTGGTACTGACTTTTCCTATGCAGACTTCCTCTTCTGTCTGAAGCCTTCAAATTGTTCATTTCTGAGAGTGACTGTAGAAATATCGATATGCTGGATTTACAGGGAAAATCTTAATGTATTTTCTCTGTTACACTTTGTTTCCCATTTCCCTTTTAAGGTTGAGTAAGCAATGTGTATAACAATTTCAAGATGGAATATAAAGAAGCACATCTGTGTAGAAATGCTGACAATTGTAAGGAAAAATCTCATAACATGAGGATACGCATACAAATACACGTTTGATAACTGGCTACTGCTTTACAATAAATATTTTCTTGCCTGATTTCTATTTCTGTAGGACCCAGGGAATGTCTAATGTTGTGCAGAGCCAGCAGGAAGGTCATTAATGCTGTTATATTTTTAGGTCTGAATTGTCACTATCAATGATGCTGCTTCATAAAATAAAAGAAACCATGTTTGCATGTCTCTGGGGAAAATACAGTAGTAACCACCAAATATTAACCACCATGTATGCTACATGGTCTTTATTCTTCCTCCATGTGTGGATGATTATTTACCATAAGCTTTTGCAGGATGCAGGCAGAAAAACTGCCTTTTATCATAGCTTTTCAGCAAATCGAATGCGTGGCACGAAAAAAAAACAACCAGCTTTTTGGTATCAGTGCTAATGATTTCACTTTTGATTAGTGATTGTGAACATGAAGCTGTGGAAACTGTGAGGTCTTTGAGGTTTGTACAGTTAGAAAATTTCAGTTTCTGGAATTATGTTTGTATACACATAAGGTACACTAACAACTCAGTAAAATACTGACACAAAACATCTCAGGCCTAAAATATTTAAAGTCTTCAATACAGCTTACAAAAGGAATAAAATGACTAATGTCATTTAATGTATTTTACAACATCCTGGCAATGGTAGTTCCGCTTGGTTGACCTACTTCTTACTATGGAGCTTAGTGAAGGATACTGTGTATCTGAATGCTTATTTTAATGACATAAGGGAGAAAGGTGTTGAGGTTGCTTTGGCCCTTATTTTATTTTATTTTTATTTTATTTTTATTTCATTTTTATTTTATTTATTTATTTATTTTGTTATTTTGGATTTGGGTGGGTTTTACCTTTGAATTGACAAATGGGATTTTTTTGTGTTTTGAAGTGGATCACAATGCTGCTAACATGCTGTCCTTTGATTGCTTCTGATTCTGAGAATATTTTCTTCTCTCAATTCCAGGTTGGGTGGGACTATATCTGCATACAAGATAGTGCCAGATGAAATAGAAGAAATCAAGGTACAGTATTACTGCCTTTCAAAGCTGATTTTGTTTTGCTTGGAGAATTACAGAAATGTTGTGCTAGAAAGGCACATTATTTCTTGCTTTGAAATGCCTGAAGAGTACATAGCCTGTCTTTACTATCCTGTTTGACAAAATCTGAAGACCGAAAACAAGAATGATCATAAATGCTTATCTGAATTCATTGCTTATCTGAAAAAAAAACCCCATAACTTAAAAAATTTAAATAAAATTGAAAACTTGTTCTTTCCAGACATTTATAATCCTTGTTTTAATTGGTAAAATATGTATTCAGTAATTATTGATCTTGGTATTTCTTTATACATCCAAAACATTAAAAACTGTGCATTAAAATCTTAAAATTGTTTAATAGGAAATAATGGTTAATACTTATTTCCTTCAACTGTATGAATTGATGAATATCTTTACGCTGCTGAAACATTTTATCATCCGCTCAATTTTAATCTAATATCACAGAATAATAAAAATAAAAACACAGATGTGATGTCTGTAGTAAAGTTCTTAGATCCATATGTAGGCATGTGAAATAGAACTTTCCTCATCTTTAGAGTCGTATCTCACCCTCATTTTAAGTGGGCTTTGGCAGGATTGATGCAAAAAATTTCTGTAATTCAGTGCATCTGTGTTTAGATATCTTGAAGACAGGTGCAGGACTATTGTGAACGTTAGCATAGTAACAAATAAATAAATATTTAGAGTTCTGTTACTTCTGAAATCAAAACCATGATCAATTCTTTCAGTATTTTTTCTGCCTTAAAGAGGATAAAATTAAATCTTTGGTACTCAGAATCATCAAAAGCTCTTTGATTTGGAGGGATGACAGCAATGAATTTATATTCTATGCAATGTTCATTATTACAGACTTCATTTTAACTGAGTCCACTTCAGCAATTTATGTCAGTTCTTAAATGGACAGCTGTGTGGGAATTTAGCCTAAATCTGTTTAACATGGTTTTTGTAATTGGTGCTTTATTCCTTTTAGTTGGCATTCAGTTATTCTGACCTATTGCTTGTTCATTATTATTTCATTGTGCTTTTTGTATATTTGTTTTCATCTTTGCAAAGAGATTCAGTAGTGTAAAATACAGTAAATGGAAGTGGTTGCAGAATTGTTTGGTCTGGACACAACTTCATGATATGTAAAGTTGTGAGGATTTATTCTTATTCAGTTAACATCAAACCCAATATAAGCAACTACAGTGCTTATCATGATCAAAGTAAATGTTTTTCTTACCTCCAAGATACATGGACTCCCTTATTTTAAATTACTAAGAGGAACATGACTTACGAGTTTAGATCCAACGTTTAGAATTGGGCAATAGAAGAGAAGAAAGAAGGTTTACAAAACTAACTGACGTTGACTGATATTTTCCTAGCTTTCAGAGAACTGTACCAAGGGTGTAAAAACAAAAATGAGAAAAATGAGAAAAAACCACAGACTTTGTCCTTTTATATATATATATATATAAAAAAAAGAACAATAGATTTGGATTACTTGATGTAGAAGGTAGTATGTTGAGGGCTTTATTGTGCAAACTGAGTTCAGTTAATGAAGAAAAATGGAGTGCTAGGAAATAAGAAATATATTTTTTTAGGAACTTACTGAATTAGGTATGCTTGTTAGTCAGAGATTTGGGTTTTTTTCCAATTGCCCGCTGAGGAAGGAGGTCTGTTCTGATTTTCAACTCTATCTATTTAAGCTGGTGCTTAAATCCTGAAACTGTAGGGAAAAGCAAAAAGGTTACAAACCTTCATCACTGATTTCTGTTAAACCAGCATGTAAGTGTGAAGGGAAGATTGTATTGTTCTAAATCAGACCTGATAGGAAAAAAACCACTTGCATTTCTTGTTTGTGGCAGCTGTCTTGTCTTGTTCAGGTAATGCTTTTTTAGTTGTGACAGAAGTCAGCCGCCTCATCATACCTTATGTGATTGAACTTCTGAAACTGTGATACACTATATGTTTCATGTGAAAAAGGCATGGCTGGAAGATGCTGTGACACAGCAGCAGTGAGTATAATAAACAAATCTATATTGAAATGGAAGACTGTTTATGTGCGTATTTTGAGTAGCAGCTACCAAATAGGGAGACTGACCATCCTTGTGTTGAAGACAGAAGAGTCTTCAGAAATGTTCTCCAAGCAGATTAGAGTAGAAGAAGGTGAAATAATACAAGACAAAGCAAGTGAGGTTGTTGGAATGTTACCTTTAGAGATGATGTAATCTTCTTCCAAGCCCAACAGTTCACAGATATTTTGTCTCAGAACTATCCCTCCCCTCTTTAAACATGAAATATTAAGAGAGTTAATTTGGTAGAATATGCAAGAAGAATAGCTCTGTTTTTATTATATGATTTATCTTGACAGGTTGCTGAATTAAATTAAAGGAGTTTGAATAATCATGTTTTCTGATCTCAAAAAATAAATTGCTTGCTTAAATGGCAAAGGAGGATACTTTATTAGGCAGAGAACAATAATTATCATGACAAATAAATAAGTAATTTTGACAGCATTTCCATATATTCTAGAAAAGGTAGTAGATTAACCTCTTTTGTAGCTCAAAATAGCTTATGAGGAAAATGAGTACAGATTTACTGATTTCACTGATGCATGTAATTACTTCTTAGGTGGGGTAGTGTTGTAAAAATAGATTCTCTCTCAGTTTGGGAAAAGGAAAAACTCTGTAAGCGTTAGTATACCTGTCAGTTGAAATATGTCGAGAGAAGTTTAAAAAGAAAAAAAGTTTCTAAATGTATTAGCAATTTCAAAAACAACCTGCATAATGTGCCTCTGAGTGTGCTTGTACGTATATGTGTATATATATGAGAGTTTACGTGTTCACATCACAGTGTTCAGTAAATTTTAGTATGTTTACATTTTCCATTGTAGAGTGTTCAGAATGTAGTTATCCTTGCATTTGAGTCCATTTAAATGATTTTACTATGTGTATATTTGTACTGTGAGTTCATATATTGTTTATGAATATAGAATATTGTCTATGTATGTGTGTGCATATTTCTGCAAATGAGTATTTGGTTAACGTTGGGTAAAATCAAGCTGTGTTTCCTTGTTACCAAAGATATGTAATGACTTGGATAGCTATAGACATGCAAATTAGGAGTATTTATGACAGAAGAAATAGTGTGTGCCCTATCCACCCTCATGCACATTTATTAGGGTTGGGAAGAATTGAGCGGAACTAATTGCCACTGCATCTACATCAGTTTGGAACTGAATATGATGCAACTTGGGTTGCCTGTTCTTATGTCACAGATGCATGGGTTCACAAAGTGAGATCATTCAAACACTATTTGAATGAAGGTAACCATCACAGGTTCCTCCCCCTCAGAGCTCTTCTGGAAGATAGAAATATCTTCTATAACATGATCTTCAGGAACAGTGCTTCGGTCAGAGAAACTGTCAGAGCAGGAAAACTGGAGTGGAAGTATACCTGTCATTTTTTTCATTCCTGTCATTTCTCTGTCATTAGTTAAAGCAATAACACTTTCAATACTTGCTGGTTTTAGAATACTGCAGGAACTGATGAAGTCATGAAGCATAAAAATCACAGCACATTTCTGAGAAACCGTAATTGTTTGGAACTTCTTTAGACATCTGTTTTCAGCAAAATCACTTGTCCTGTAAGCAGTGTTCTTTACAAACTTGAAAAAATATATTGGCAGTTTTGAGCCTTGTTCATTCACTGTAGTTGTATGTTGTGCCTAGAGGAGAGCTCTTCTATGCCAAATAATGTAATGTACGTGGGGACTGGAAGGCATCAGGCAACACTCGTCTTGGAGAGCATCTTTTGATTGGAGGCTTAAAAAAACAAACAAACAAAAAACACTTTGTAACAAACTTAACATTTCTTTATTTCTAGTTAGTGACAAACACAATACTGTTTTGCTTGCAATGATGTTTTAAGATAAAAGAGCAATTTATGACTATTATTGACAAGAGTGTTTTTGTTTTGTATCTGTACATAGTGGTTTCATATGCAAATGGTAATGTCTTTTGGTTTACAGTTCCATGATGTGCTTTTTTTAGTTGCAGTATTCTGTCATAAATATATGATGTTGTGAAGGGTGGTTCTTCTAGAGCAAGACTTTATGAATGACATTTCTTAAAAATATTTGATTTGCTTGAATTTGCAAGTCAACAGCAGAGACAAATATAAATGCTTCCCATATATTTTTCATGTAGGATTGCATGCCTCTTACTGTCTTCTCAACACCATAAATGAATGTGACAGCAAGTGTCAAAAAGTAAAACACATTGGCAATGAATTTCATTCTTGTAGTACTTGAGCTCTGAAACAGATATTTTAGTGTAGAGAACGAGATTAGACTGTTATTTCTTCTGGTGGTAAATTTTGAGTAATATTTTTTTAGAACTGTTTTTTATTATTGGTCGTAAGTGTAAACGTAAAGTACTTATGGGCAAAGATCGGATTTGTTTTAAGTCCATTTGTCCACGCTTTCACACGGAGATATGCTTTATACTCATCAGAGAACACCTGTAATTTTTCTCCAGTTGATCTTCAAATGAAAGCATATATGCACGATGTCTTAAAGGCTACATTCAAAGGCTTTTTCCCAGAGTAATGATCATTCTCTTTTCTTAGAAGCATGTTTCTTTATTGGTCTAATATGAGAAAAGTTCAATTCTTAAAGGTCAGTTACTTTAGATGACCAATGAACTCTTGAGGTTTTAATTTCCCACATGATCATGTTAATGAACTTATGAAGAAAGCTGATTCAGTGTTAATGCCAACTGCCTTTCAGAGCAAGGATGGACTTCAGTAAAAAAAAAAAAAAAAAAGTTATTTGAAATGATTGCAAATAGAATCTGTCTATCCGGAGGCATTCTCTGAGATCTGCTTTGTAGACCCCATGGCATCACATGCCTACATAATATTGTATGCTATAATCTTTCTAATATGCTGATACGAGTAGCTGATGAAACTTACGCAAACTGT